AGTTTGGTAACTAGCACTTACAAAATATTGGCTAAGGTGTTGTCTTTGAGGCTAAAAATAGTTCTCCCATCCCTAATAAGCCAAGCCCAAGGGGCATTTGTTCAAGGAAGACAAATAATAGATCAAATCCTAGTTGCTAGTGAATGTGTGGAGGATATGAGGAGATCCAAAAGAAGAGGCTTTGTTTGTAAGTTGGATCTAGAGAAGGCCTATGACTTCGTGGATTGGCAATTCTTGGTACAAGCAATGAGAAATTGTGGCTTCGGGAATAAATGGTGCAGTTGGATTTTTGGGTGTGTGAGTTCATGCCATTACTTTATCCTAGTTGATGGAGTGGTGAAGGACTTTTTCCCAGCTTGTAGAGGTGTCAAACAAGGGGACCCTCTATCACCCTTCCTCTTTACTCTAATAGTAGAGGTTCTTAGTAGAATGATCTCAAAGGCTGACAGGGAAGAAATGATTAAAGGGTGGAGGATTGGTAGGGATGGTATTTCGGTCACCCATCTCCAATTTGCATATGATATTTTGATTTTTTGTGAAGGGAGAAATCTCAAGGATCTGGTTAGGAATTTTGAGAAGGTGTCAAATCTGAGTGTCAACTTTGGGAAGAGTTGTGTAGCCAGGGTTAACTTGGAGGACAGTCAGGTGGAAGCTATAGCAAGAAGCTTAGGGTGTTCTATTTCGTCATGGCCTATGACCTACTTGGGGCTTCCGTTAGAGGCAAACCCTAGGGAAAGTAGTTTTTGGTGTCCAATGGTGGAGAGGTTTCAAAAGAAATCGACTTCTTGGAGGAAAAACTATATTTCTTTGGGGGGAAGAATCACGTTGATAAGGGCCACATTAGCTAACCTACCAACCTATTTCCTATCTGTGTTTAGGATACCACCTAGGGAAGCTAAGAAGCTAGAGAAGGTGATGAGAGATTTCCTCTGGGAGCCAGGAGAAGGTAAGAAGGATCACTTGATAAAATGGGAGATTGTATGCCGGAATAAAGAGGAGGGGGGATTGGGGTTAGGGAATTTGATTAAAAAGAATAAAGCACTACTGGGGAAGTGGTTGTGGAGGTGGCCAGTGGAGAGAGAGAGGCTCTGGCATGAGGTGGTGGGTTGTATTCTTGGTTGCTTTGATAATGGGTGGGATGCTAGAGTATCACAACAGGCAACCTTGGCAACTCCTTAGAAAGCTATTCATGGCATCCTTCCTCAATTTCTCAGTTTTGTCAGGTATGATGTTTGTAATGGTAACTCTATTCTTTTTTGGGAGGATACTTGGGCCAGTGAGGCTCCATTGAAGGACCTCTTCCCTTCTTTGTTCTCTGTCTCAAGGTACAAAAAGGAGGTTGTCTCAAAGTTTTGCTCCTTTATGAATGATCCATTAACACCGAGTTGGGGTTTTGGGTTTCATAGAGGCCTAAGGGAAGAGGAAATTGTGTCCCTAACAAATCTGCTAAGCCTACTTGATACAGTGTGTTTAGACCCTTCTGAACCCGACAAACGGATCTGGACACCCAAGCCAAATGGATCCTTCTGTTGTGCTTCTTTCTTTAAATCCATTACTCAATCTAACCCCACTCGCCCTTTCCCTTTTAAGGAAATTTGGTGTAGGCCTGTTCCCCCTAAGGTTATGGCTTTTTGTTGGGAAGTGCATTATGGGAAAATAAACACCTTAGACATTCTTCAAAAGAGAAGACCTTATCTTTGTCTTTCACCTTCTTGGTGTATCCTTTGCAAGTCACATGGTGAGGACTGTAACCATCTACTAATTTCCTGTTCATTTACTGCAGAGTTATGGGAGTGGATCTTCTCATTGTTTGGGTGCAGATTGATTAGGCCAGCGGATGCAAGCTTGATTTTTTATCCTGCTTTCCTCCCTTGGCAGCACAGAATAGGAAGAATTATGTGGAGGTGTGCAAGAGCAGCGCTGCTCTGGTCCATGTGGGAAGAAAGGAATACCAGAACTTTCCAAGAGAAGGAGAGAAACTTAGAAGAGATGAAGGACTGCATTCTAAATAGGGTGATCTTATGGCTAAAATCMCTGGACTTATTTCATCATTTCTCATTTAGTGATATTTGGAGGAATTGGTTAGCAGTGGCTAATTGTTCATCTAGAAAGACTAAAGTGAGTCTAACTTGGGAACCCCCTCCTGAGAATTTTTTGAAGCTGAACTTCGATGGAAGTAGTCTTGGTAATCCAGGTCTGCCTGGGGTGGGAGGGGTACTGAGGAATGAGGCTGGGAATGTGGTTCTTATCTACTTGGGGCCCATAGGAGCTGGAAACTCCATTAGGGAGGAACTTGCAGCTGCTATCCAAGGAGTTCAGCTAGCTGTGCAAATAGGTGTGGATCATCTGATAATAGAAGGGGACTCCAAGGTGGTAGTGGGATGGCTACAAAACCCGGACTCTATAGTGTGGTGTTTTAAGAATGAAATTAAAAAATTCAACTGCCTGACAAGGAGCTTGACAGTGAGAATACAACGGGTGGGGAGATCTGCAAACTCTATGGCCGATGGCCTTGCAAAGCAAGGGGTAAACAGGGAAAGTTTATATTGGGCTCAATTGTAGATTGAATCTGTTTCCTGTTTCCTGTTTTCTGTTTTCTTTTGTCTTTCTTCCTGCTATTAGGAGAGGATGCAGCTTGTGCCTCTCCATGGGAAGCCTGCAATTGCATTAATTCTCTATTAATGAATCTTGTCTCTTTACTCATCAAAAAAGAATAGTCTGAATAAGAGTTCAAGATAAATGTACAAATCTACCAAGCAGCACATGTTAAGGGCTAGCCACTGCTGCCTAACCCTTCATTGTTCAATTTTCTTGAAATTACAATTGTCCCTAGGAAAAAAAAAGCACTCTGTTGGCCCCATTCTTAGCTAAAGAAACTGCTATTCCATTTGTATCTCTAGGTACCCATGACACATTGTCCATTGATACACTTACAAGATCTGGCTTCCCTCAAATGTTCCTACATTGCCATGGCACATTCTGCTATTGCTGCCTTTCATCCATCCAACCACCACTCTCAAGTCCCCTTCAATTATTAGTCTCCAAAAGTTCAGTAATCTCCCTATCTATAGACGATGTATAACTACTGACAGTTTGGCCCTCAGTGAATCTTCATATCCTATAGGTCCTGAATATATGGCTAGGATGCCTCCCCCCCGCCCCCCAAATCTCTAGAGATTTTACCCACTCCTGGTGGTCCTGGATTGCCTAAACTGCGTCCATCAAAATTTAGTTGATTAGACCTTCAGGTGGTGGTTGCCGATGAACCATAGACCATCAGATGGTAGTCGCCAATGAACCACAGTTTAAGGATCTAACAGTGGAAGAGGATACCACCTATCGCCACCATCTTAGGATGTCTTCCACTGAAAAGAAGCAAAGATGTCCGAAGACTTTACCCAATTAATTACTTGGATGGAAAAGCTTTCAATTAGAGAATCCTTTGGTTTAGCCTTGCCATTGAAAATCCTTTCATGCCTCTCCTTCCATACTGTCCACAAGATTTTTATGGTTTTTTAGATCAAACTTTTCGGCCCATCAATAGAGAGGTTACCCTACTCTAATGAAAAATCAAGTAAACAGAAAATGGAAAATGAAACCCCAAGGTTATCCTATCTTGGGAAGTTTAAACTTCTTTCTCTCTTTTGGTTGTAAGAAGCTAGGGATTGGAGGATCATATCCACAAGGACCACAACTACTCACATTTTATACCTACAGTCGCACTGCAAGAGATTTTAAAAGTTGCACAAAAAACTTATCCAGGGTTACTTTAAATTAATATATGTTCCCTATATTTGTTCCATTTCTTACCAAAAGTTGCTCAGTTTACAGTTTATCAATCTTAAAATAAACATAATAAACTTTCAAATGTCAATCTATATTTATACTACTGTCAAAAGTACAAATGAATTTGTGGAATTTTGATTTTTGACTAAAACGCCCCTATTAGTGAATTTGGTCCCTCTCTGATTGTGAGGGCTTAAAGTGTAATTTAAACTACTATTTTTCACCTCATTCAATTCCCTCCCATGAAATATTATATTTAAGGTATTTCCTAACATTCTTTCTCACTAAATTCTATATTTAAGGTATTTTTCTCAACAATAAATTCTACTAATTAGATCTATATACAATACTTTTTAGCAATATAAAACCCACATTTTTTAAAAATAAAACCAAAAACAAAACCTTTCTTCCATCCAAGAGACAGGCTGACAGCATAAGCAATTTAACCTTCCATGTCAAATGGATCAACTCATGATGTCGTAGTTAAATAATAAAATTCTAAAATAGAAATAGATACAAAAAAAGTAAAAATGTGAAAATTTTGGGCCCATCTCTAATATTTTATATTAATCATATTAAAGAAAAATAAGTGTGATAAATAAGAATTATTTTTATCGATGATGGAAGAAATACAAACCCAAAAATGAAATTGTTTTTCTATTTGGTGGAAAGTCAACAGTTCAACCTTTTGGGTCAAATGTGTCAAATCTGATGTCATAATTAAATAATAAAAATTGAAAAAAAAAGATAGAAACACAAAATACAGAAATCTTGTACAAAACATTTGGGCACATCTCTAATATTATATATTCATCATATTGGATAAATATAAGTGTGATAAATAAGAATTATTTTTACACATAGAAATATAGAAATTTTTTGTAGAAATATTTGAAGACTTCTTATTACTATCATCATCATCATCTAAAATTGTCATGTGCAAAGCAAATGCACATTTGCTGGTACTTCATAAGTTTCATGTTTAAACATGGATTGTTAAAAGTACAAACACTGGAACTTGCCATTGCATCTGAAAGGAAAAGATTTTGGAGCAACATTCATGCTATATAATAAAAAAGGTTAAAAGAATAACTCAAACTATGCATTTTCAATGAATCAACAGAAATATTTATAAATAATTATCCCTTTCAAATATTAAGAATTCTCTTTCTACACAAAAAAAAAAGAACTATGAATCCAAATGCTTGGCATACCTTGCATTGCCCATTCAACTATTTCGTTGCTGATTCCTGCACTTGATTGGCTTTCAGAAGTAGCATATTGTACTGAAAAAAAAAATCAGAAAGTAGAAAATGAATCGATATGATCAAATACTGAAATTTTGGAAGTCCAGTATTGATAAGAAAGTGATCATCATCATCATCATCTAAGCCTTGTGCCAACTATATGAGATTGGCTACATGAATCTTGTTTGACACCATTCCATTCTGTCCAGTGTCATATCCATCTTCAAATTATGGGTCCACAAATTATTCCTTACTAGTTCTACCCAAGTCCTTTTTGACCTGCCCCTAGCTCTTCTAGCCCTTTCAACTTGTAACAGATCACTTCTTCTAACAGGTGTTGTAGATGGTCTTCTGTGCACATGACCAAACCACCTCAGTCTACTTTTTCTCATTTTATCACCTATTGGAGCTACTCTTAGGTATCATTTTTTCTGTTACCTTTTCACTAGAGGTTTCTTGATTTATTTCAGGTACTAAATTTTTAGTATATGTGAGATATCTATTTTAGTTAGTTGGTTACTTTTGGAATTGAGATTAGATTAGAAAATTTTGGATCTTTTAGATACTATCCATTTCTTATAGAATGTAGATGTCATATGGCTTGAAGAGGAGAGAAGATGTTGGAAAAAAATACAATCAAACAAAATTGAACTTCGCTCCTGGGAGGCACTACCACCAGTACAATGCCAAAATGCAGATACCAACATAGATACATAGGGGAAACATGGTTATAACTCTCCATTTCCTAAGATCCCACACAAGGACATGGGTGCAAATCTCCCATCTAATAATCTTATGTCGTGCTTCTATACCCAATTTTTGAAGCCAAGTATTATTCCTCAATACTTACACAGTTCATGATGCAAAATTTAAGTAAACTTTTAACATGTGCAGTATTTTACAGAATTATTTGTTAAAAGATACCTTCTTGTATATTCTAAAAGCAAAAATGTTATAGTGTACTCTAAAATTGTCCATGAAGCATCCATTGTTACATCAGGTACATATCATGTCTTACACTGGCATACTACGAATGTACTGGGTATCCATGTATCATAGTCTCCCCACCTTAGAAGTGATTTATCCCCTAATTTATCTGTTTTTACTTTCAATTCCACGAGTGCATGCATCATTCAGTAGAGCATTCAACTTGGAAATGGCAGATGCACACAATCACTAAGGAGATTGAAGGCATTAAGTAGCTAATACATCAAAATATTAGAGCTGTGTTCTCGCTGACTGAAATCCTTCAAAAGATTTCAGCCATGGAAAATAAATATGATAATTAGCAGCATCAATCTTATGGGAATAGAGGAACCCATTAAAGGACCAATTTATAGGCCTTAGAGAATTAATAATAGGGCAAGCTATTGAGATATAACCTTGTTAATCCCAATTGTCTAGGATCTTGGGAGGAGAGAACTATACACAGACCTACCCTTTGGCATTTTTTGCACAAAGTGGCTGCTCTTGGATCTAAAACCTGCATTCTCATGCCTATCATCCCAAGGTTTTACATTGCACTAGGAGAGATCTAAATTGCTGCATGAACAGAGGAGATCAGATATTTTCTTATCATCAAAGTCCTCAAGATGAGAAGGTTACAAACTTTCAATAGCCTCTTTTTTACTTGAATGAAGAAGTGCTTTAATGGTTCCAGTGGGTGATGAAGTCAAAATATCATTGTAGCCAGCCTTTACTCAAGCTCTAAAAACTTGATTCAGTGTTTCAAAGTCAGAGGACCCTATTGGGGCTTTGGTTAAGGTAAGCAAACTTCAAAAGTGAGAAAGTATCAAAATCAGTTTGAGAAGTTGGCCAATCAAACGACTAGGTTGCCTAAATCAATTCTTAAATTTTTTTTCTCCAAATTAGATGATGAGATATGACTTGATGTTCAAAGGTTTAAATTGCAATGAAAAATTCAAACCTAGGCACATGTGCAAGATGTAACAATTGTTTTGATCGAGGAATATAGGCCAGATGATTATCAAAACGATTGTGACTTAATGTCTCCTTGGGACAAGGTGCATTTTAATGGAGGGAGAATGATACATATCATTTTCTTTTCCCTTTACTATTTAGATTTCTTCTATTACAATTAAGTAGTAAATTTCTAATTCGTTTTAATTATCTGTTGAGTCAGTAAGTTAGTTCTAGAATTGAAATTAGATTAGTAGCTTTGAATTCTCTCCCCTTCTTATGGCTTTAAGAATATAGAAGTAGGAGAAGAATTAAGCATTTCTCTCATCAAAAGGTTACGAATTCTGTATTCGGATAGAAGAACAAAAATTAATCCACCCACAAAAAAAAGGAAAATCAAAATGATCAAATGCTGAAAAGTTACAAATGAAACTGTAAAATCACAGAGAAGAACGAAAGAAAAGTCCACCACCATCAATAAATGGAAAAACGGACTTTGCTGAAATAGATTTTAGCAGCAGAATGCATGACATTAAATAGAAATTATAGAATAGTCACTAAATGTTCAAATAAACGGATAGCACTAACAGATATAACTTAAAGAAAAATAAAACACAGCATCGCAAACCAACTCAAAACAGTGAATAGTTTATTCAAACACATACACATACGTCTCCTTAGCCTTCAAAAATACAATGAAGTAAAAAAAATAAATAAATTGACAGGTGAAAGATAATATAATACAACAATAACATGAATTAAAAAACAAAAAAAAAGAAAGTAAAGAGGAAAAAAACAAAGAAGAGTAGGAAAATTCGCTCACCAGAGTGAGAAAATTGAGATGGAGCTGACAGATTTCTTAAGAAAGCGAAGCGAGAAAACAAATGAGGACGAGAAAATGTGATCTTAAGTGGTCTAGATTTGAAGCTTAAGTAGGGAAGAGACGTTGAAAGGAGTTGCAGACACTCCATAGCATGTACTAGGGAGGTGGAGAATCAGGTAGAATCAGCGTCTCGCACCACCAAAAGATAGATAAAATAAAGGGTAAATTGCTGAAACCTCCCCTGAAGTTTTTCGTTGTTGTTGAAACCTCCCTGATGTTTGACAATTGCAATCATCTCCTTGAACTTTCATATAATTGCAAATAAACTCTTCTATTAGCATCTTCTAAAAAAGCTATGAAAATGTCACAAATACCCATACAATTACTTATGATAAAAGTGTTTATTTTCGAAATTTTCTCTTTATATGAATTACTATCCTAAACCCTTTCTATCTCTTTTCATAAATTGATTTATTTTTCAAATTTGCCCTTCATATCAATTGTTCAAAAGTAAAGTTGAAATTTTAAACTCTCTTTCTTTTTGTTGTTCATAAAGTTTATATTGTTTTTTTCATATAAACCAACCTCAATAGTGACTGTATAAGTATTTTGGACATTTCTGTAGCTCTTGTTAGAGGATTCTAACATAGGGGATCTACGTAGGCGTATCAGAATGTTTGGGGAGGTGATTCGTGCCATGCCATAATTTGGGCCCAGGTTGCAAAGCTGGCTAGGTCCCCAAAGCACAACCCAATCAAATAGCTTCGATACCAGGCTGGCATGATACGACACGCAACAAATATAGCCATTGGACCCCTCTAATAGCTATATTTGCTTTTCTTTGGGGTATTTTAGTCAAAATATCCCTTACAACTATAAACCACCATAAGGGGTATTTTTGCATTTTGGATTATGGGGAAAGGGACAAAAATGACTTACTAAATAACAACTAGTTTAGGGGTATTTAAGTCAAATAACATATAACCCCTAAAATGACCAAAATATTTCTCACAATAGTGATAAACAACTAGCTTCGAAGGGTATTTTGGTCAAATTAATCCCCAAATCCTATAAATACCCCTACCCTCCCTCGTTCTCACCACAACTCGCACACTCTATTGCTCTCTACAATCTACATACTCCCATATTCTTAATTCTTTTAAGTTTTTCAATTTTATTTATTTTTTTTTCCAATTTTAAAGTTTCAACAAGGAGCATTTGGAGGCTTCTTTAAGGCTTCATTGGCTGAAATCAAGGATAGTGGTGGTTGGACCAAGTAAGTAGTTTTTTTTCTAATTTTTAATTTACATTACAATGGCCAGCTCTTCCCAAAATCATTTTCCTTTTCTTGATGAAGCTCAATCTCAATATGACAACACTGAAAATATCGGCATCAACAACACTAATGTTGCTCCAGATATGGCTTCATCAAGCCCCGCTCTAGGAAGAGAAGGACTAGTGATGTTTGGACCATGTTTTAGATTGAGGAAATCCCTAGAAAGGGGAAGAAGATCAGTCAACAAAAAATGCAGACATGATTTTAGCTGCCACAGTAGTGGTGACACTAGCCATTTTCTTAGACACATGGCATCTCACGTCAAATAGGGAGATGACGACTCACATTATATGTAGATTTCTAGTGGGATATTTGATAATTTTAAATATTCCCAATAGAAAATGAAGAAAGAATTAGCCAAATATTGTACATGCTAAGATGCCATTAATCTTCAATTTAGGAGAGTTTCTAGGAATACAACTAAAAATGATGCTTTAAAATTTTTTTAGGTATATAAACAAAATTTAATTTCAACTCTTCCTAAATTAGATTCTAAAATTTCTCTTACATATAATATATGGACATCCAAATATAACATTAATTATATTTGTGTCACTACACATTTTATTGATTAAGAATGGAATTTGCAAAGAATTTTAAGTTTTACTAAACTAGAATGGTGCATACTAGCACTGCAATTTCTGGTAGTATTCTAATACATTATATGAATACAAAATTGAAAATAAAATTTTTTATATTACTTTTTATAATGCTAGTAATAATGATTCTGTAATAAATATGTTAAAAATCAATTAAAACCAATTTTTAATGGAAAATTTATTTTATATTAAATTTATGTGTACAGGATGCATTAGAATTTATTTCACCCCATCTTATTAAAGTTAGAAATTTTATTATGTATATTAGAACTTGACGAGTTGGAAAACAAGAATTTAAAAATTTATTTCACCAATATAAAAAATATAAAAGATTTGTATTAGATGTACAACACAGGTGGAATTCAACATATTCTGTGTTAAAAAGTCATATATCATATAAAGATGTTTTAACAAGTTTTTATAATGAAAAAAAATGTCAAATGATTACATAACTAATGTAGATTCGAAAATTGCAATTTGTATAAAAGATTTTTTACAAACATTTTCTGATGCAACTAATTTATTTTCAGGAGTTATTATCCTACTTTGTGTGTATTAGTTAATCAATTATTTATATTTATATTTAGTGATGTTTTTTCAAAATATAGAAATATTCCACAATTTCAATCAATTGTTGAAATTATAGAAATAAAAAAAATCAGGTTGAGATATTCTACTTGGCCTTTATCATACAAATATGATAACTCAAATTGAAACAAAAAAAAATAAAGTTAATAATTTATTATTTCAAATGTATTAAATGTATGAATCTCAAAGTTATTAGGAAACAAAAGAAGTTTAACAACCGCACCACGTGAAAATAGTGGTGGAAATAAAATTTGGTCTCCAATAGGATTTTGCTTAGAGTAGATGAAAAATCACTTGAAAAAGTTCTATTTGAATTTTTGAGAGCTGGAAAATCCCCAAAAAAGTTGGTCTCCAATAGGATTTTGCTTGGAGATGGGAAGTTACGAACCAAAAGTTTTGTTTTGATTTTAACTCTAGTAAAAGAAAATTGCTTAAAGATATTGTGGGCCAAACTAACAGGTGAAGCCATCGTTAGATTTAAGTGGCCCTCCCCCTTGAGGCTCTTTAATCTCAGTTGGCATAATAATTGATTGAAGTCCCTAACCCTATCAATCCACTAGATCACTCAGATGGATCTATTCGTTATCCAGCCTCACAAGAACACAACAGTGATGACAATGCACATCAAAGCTGCTTGAATATCCAACCGAGGGTGATCACTCGCATTTACAATATCCTGAATCCGATAGTTAAGGGTGTTCACGGGTCGGGTTGGATCAGTTTGAGTTATTTTTTTCAACTGACCCGACCTAATCGATTTACTCATTTACTAAACCGAAACCGACTGACCCTGAAGCAAAATTGACCCAAACATGAAGGGTTGGTTTATCGGTTTAGTCAGTTTTTATATATATTTTAAACTAGAATATCTATATCTAAACATCTATTTATATTTAAGTTCATTTCTTTTTAGTTTTTATGCAAAACCAAAATATATATTTAAATTGATTATTTTTTATGCAAAATAGATTTTTTTGTCAATATATATATATATATATTTAAATTTATACAAAACTGAATTAAATATTTTACTATTGTATTATATTTGTATTGGTTTTACATTTTATGTTTTTATCATAAATAACCAATTTTTTAAAGTCAAACAAAACACAAATAAAATATATCAACATTTAACATATAGGGTAGGGACTAATTATTAATTACTTAAAAATATAAGATCAGTTTGGCTTTGGTTTTCATACATGAAAACCAAAACTGAATTGAGTTGTCGGTTTATTTTTTCATACAAACTGAACCTACCAGTGATTTTGAAAAACTGACCAACTCGAGTTGGGTCGGTTTGACATTTAATGTGAACACCCCTACCGATAGTGAACAATTTCAATGAAGGGAACCTATGGAAGCATTGGCTCCCACCATGCAACAGAGCTAGACTGTGTGTTAATAGTGCTAGTTCTATCTAGAGGTTCTTTCTATCCTCTCATGAAGGTGCTATGTTGGAATACCCATGGTGCAGGAAACAATGACTTTCAAAAAACCCTTCGTGGTTTGATTAATATGCACCATCCAAATTAATATTGTAATCATTTTGGAAATTTGAATCCAAAACGATCATTCCTCAAGGATTATTTCTAGATTGGGTTACTCTTGAGCCTATATTCTAGATCCACAAGTAGGGGTGGATTCGAGTCGAGTCGAATACTTGGCTATTCAAGCTCGGCTCGCTGAAACTGTGTTAGGCTTGAGCTTGAGCTCGAGCTCGATTCAAGTTAGAGATTTGAGCTCGAGTTCAACTTGTCTCGAGCTTGACTGCAAGCCAAGTTTTTTTCTCTAAACAATAAAAAGTATACATATAAAAATATTTTTTTGAGCTTGATTCAAGTTAGAGATTTGAGCTCGAGCTTGACTGCAAGCCAAGTTTTTTTTTTCTAAAAAATAAAAAGTATACATATAAAAATATATATTTTTTATTTTACATACAAAAAAATTAAGAATTATAAAAATCATTTATTATTATACATATAAAAAATAAAAAAATATACATATAAATAATATTTTTATTCCACATACAAAAAATAAGAATTATAAAAATTATTTACCATTATACATAAAAAATAAAAATATTATATAATGAAAATTATTTATTATATATATTTGTGTATTTATATGTATGTATATAATAAAAAAATTATTTATTTATTATATTGGCTCGCGAGCCTCACGAGCCGAGCTTCACTAGGCTCGAGTTCGGCTCGATTAGCGAACGGGCCTATATATCAGACTCAAGCTCGGCTCGAAGCTCAGTTTAAATCGAGCCGAGTCGAGTTTTTCACGACCAAAGCTCGAATAGCTTGTGAGAAGCTTGGCTCGTGGCCACCCTAATAGAGATATTGTAAGATATTTAGAAAGATTTTGTGCATATGGACTTTTAGGAAGTTGCTAATTTTTAGTCTTGCTATTTTTATTCTTGATGTATTTGTATATATATGGGCAGTTTGCTCCATTTAAAGGCATATAATTACCATTCTTTTTTGGACGACGATCCTTGCAATTATTCTTTATGGTATCAGAGCCACACTTACACTATGGCTGATTTGAAATCTCCTTACTATCTTGGTTCGCAGGACAACCCCAGCTTGGTCGTGACACCCATCGTCTTGAAAGGCGATAACTATGATGAATGGGCCAAAGCCATGAAGAACGCGTTTCG